TATATATATATATATAACACCAGTTTAAAAACTTGTCAACATCCTAGAAATAATATGCAAAAAAACCCAAAACATTCCAAAAACCAGGTATACTGTATTTAGGTGCCAGCCTGTACCGTTCAATGTCTTTTTGAGCGCCCTGGGACCCCTGAAATCCAGGGTGTAATGTAACAAGCCTATTTTGGGATGCAAACAGACATTTGGACAGATTGCAAACTTCTCTCTACAATTTCGAAATGACAGGAAACTCTGGCTGTCCTCATAGAAAGAATAGTGACACTCTGAGCTTCCTTTCATTAACAAACAATGCTTTGAGATCTTTAACCCTTTGTTAAGCTGGCCATACACCTATAGATCATCTGCAGATTTTCTATGGTCAGATGGAAAAAGTGCAACAGATTCCTCCCATCTACGCTAAACTGTGTGGATGGTGGAATCTCACACTGGGCCAAGCTTCGGTGTCTTGCTAGTCGGCCCCTCTGGCTCTCAAAATACCTGGACAATGCTTGCATCCAATCAGATTGTTCTAAATTATGAGAAGAAAGAAAGCCTTCTGGAGTTGGATATCCAGAAATTATGTAAACAATGAGGCTTTAGCCCCGCTGGCTCTCAAAATACCTGAACAATGCCTGCATCCAGATTTAGAGAAAATCTTTTCTTTCAGAAAGAGTAGGTAAAATGGTAAGCAGTATTTTTTTTTAGTTATGCTATGTGATTGGGAACATGTAACAAATATAAAGTAAGTATTATCCCAATTTGGGTGCAAAAGTGGAAACAGACCTGAGCAGGCTCAGTAACCTCAACTTTGTTTCCAAAAGTTGGGCCATCGCATATCAAACAACCTCCTTTTTTTTTTTTTTTGTAGTTCTAAGACACGTGATAATACATTGAAACATATACTTTTCATTAATAGTGCAGCTATACCAGTTATTGCCATTGAAAGGTCTCCTTTAAAGCCTTTCCCTGGCCATAAGAAGAGAATAATGTGTATATTCATATGAAAACATACGAGTCTGTCTATGTCAGAAATCTAATTTTACAAGTAAAACCCTAGCTTCTGTGTGGAATCATTTAGTGTTTATTAGGATATCAGGGCCTATACTGTAACCAGCTATTATTTAGAAGTATGTTTGCACTCTGTTGATTAGCAATCTGCTTCGGGGCTGTGTCCATACTGCCATAGTTTCTGTCATGTTAAATGAGCATTCTGTATATGGCCCTGCAGGCATATTCACTCATTTTGTCATCCTCCATACTTAAATGTAACAGAAGATTTTAAAGTCTTGTGAAAGCATAGTTGTAGTTATGCAAGTAAGTTGGCTGTGCAGAAAAAAAACTTTTAGAACATAACATTCGTCTTTTTTTCCTTAGGATTGATGTCACAGAGCTTCAGATTTCAGTAACCATTGTATTTTTGTTGTCTGCATTCTTCGGGACTACTTTCTGGGACATTGAGGTAACCTATTGAACCCTTTAATCTCTACATTAAATGTACTTTTTGTGTTTGTTTCGTGGCACATGCTGTTTCATTTGCCTCTGTTGATTTATAAAACAAATGGAAAGAAAAACAGACCATTTACTAGAGATGTTCAGATACCAAGTACCATAATCGGTACAAGTACAGATACTTTTCCAGCTCTAAGACTAGACTAGAGAAAAATTCAAAAGTTAGGAGGCAGCTGTCATTTGTAAGGAGCACACGGAGCTCCTGGGATTTCTGCATCCCTGTTTTAATGTATGCTTTTTTAAAAAAAAGAAATATATATTAGGGATGCACCGATACCATTTTTTTTCAAGTAGAAGTACTGATACTTGCCCAAGTACTCACAGATACGAGTACTGATACATTTTTGTGTATTGCCATGTGACAGTTTTTCTAAAACAATACAGACTAATGATTTCAGGACAGTGGTGGAGCACCAGAGCCCGGTCCCAGCTGCAACCATGGTAGTTCTCGTGAAAGTATCTGCACTGGTATTTGAACATCCCTAATATTTACCCATCATACCGAGGCAGGAAGCGGCTGTCATGTTCCAATGACTGGTTTTAAAATGCAAGGTAACTCTTAGTTGGTTGATATGGGGATCAGCGTTCTTTCCATCTCCATTTTTGTTTCTCTGTCATGTCAGTACATTTAGGACAATAAACCTGGCCATTGGCAGTATTTTGTCAGCAGACATTGCAGGTTCCTGCATGATTTCCTCTGTTAAGTCAAGTATGGATTCAACTCAATGTGGTTTAATTCTTCTAGTGGTGTATTGATCTGCAGTGAGTTTACCTCTCTAGATCACTTACTTTTATCTGGTAGTCATTATGTATAAAGTAGTGTTCTTTAATGTGACTTGGTGAACAGTGTGCATACTAGTATATCTCTGAAGGTTCTTATTTATTCAGGCCATTAGTAGGTATGTGTTGGTGCACTGCTGGACCCCAGATTAGACAAAAATCTGAAGTCAGAAAGTAATTTCTAGAGGCTGTTTTGGGGACCCTTTGGAGTACTCCAAGTGACAGTCTATAGTGAATTGCATGGATGAGAGTGCCACAAAAATCTGAGTAAGTGCTGTAAGAAGTTTATGTTGTCACAATACTATGCGAAAATAGCCAGCATGTTTAATGTGCTCAAAACTCCCCTTCAGTGTTCATGTGCTGACTGAGAGTTCAAATTTGTTCTAGAAAACAACTGCAAAATGACCTGGATATCATTAACGATGATCAGGCTGTCCTGAATTATTGCTGTGATATCACAAGTCCTGATTAAGGATAATTTTTGAGCCCCAAAAAATGCATTGACTTTTCTGACAAAAAAAAAATCTTACTGGACTTACTCAAGGTTTGTGGCACTCTCATCCTTCCAAAGTTCTGTAGATTTATTCAGCTCATGGTATAGTTAGTATTAGTCACATTTAACTGGACTTGTTCTGTAATGTTGAAGATGTTTTGCCATTCCTCCAAATAGCTCAGGAGCTGAGGAAGCTACTTGAATGAGTGGTGGCACATCTTTAACTTTATAAAACAAGCTCAGTTAAATGTTACTATTGTGTGGACGAAGTGCCCTTTCACATTACAGAGTGTGCTGATGGTTAATAATACAGGTCTGCAAGTAAAAGCCCCTAGAGTTTGTTCACATTCGGTGGATTGCCATGCATTTATTTCATTTTCCCAGCAAAGACAAACATTTTCGAATGTGAGACAATCCCTTGCCTTCCACAGGGCCCTTTCATGGCAACTTATAATGTTACGTTATGTTGGAGGAATGTTCCCTACATTGTATTTTGGTAAATTTTCCCATTTAAGTCGGTTGAGCAAAGTCCTCCATGATGCATGTAAAACTCTAAATGCACATACAAGGGGAAGCCAATAAGTTCTTACCCTCACCATGATCTGGATGTGCTAGGGATCTGAAATTTTGCAGGTATATATGTGGATATCTTAGTAATATGCATGCTAATTTTTGTTTTTGTAGGTTGTGGTGAATTTTATAGTTGGAGCCAAGAGAAATTAAGTAGGTGTTAGAGCCAAGATGGAGGAACCTAATCACGGCTCTGTATTCAACTTTGATCGGCATGAGACCTACTGAATTTCTCTTACCGCTCTCTGCAGGGAGATGATCGAGAAGTTAGCGTGCGACGGCATGCGTTCGCTCACTTCTCGATCTATAGAGCCGACCTGTGACAGTTTCATTGTCACAGGTCGGCTCGAACTATGAGGTGAGTGATTTTCACACACCTCATAGTTCTCCTTTTTAAACATCTGATTTTAGTAGTGACACTTTTATACAGTTTGTCTGTAATTCAGTTTCTTCTCTTTTTGTGGTACAAAATAAAACCGCTTACATAAATGTTCTTTTGAAATGTGAATATTTTATAAAAACAACTGTGCTAATATAGCAAAGAGCATGTTAGTAGAAGCTGTGAGTAAATGCTGAGGAGCGGAGGTACTGTTTGCATTTTACTTCCAAATATGTTGCTGAAGAATGAAGCGTAGGTTGAGCATTTAATTTTTCTCTCTTCACTTTCCGCTGCCAATGGAAGTTTTCTGGCATCCGAAAAGAGTATTTCAGGTAATTATTTTAATAACACATCTTTCATCTTTCATCTTTGTCTAACTGGAAGATGTAAGTGAACACACAGGAACCAACAAATATGGTTATTTCAATATAATACAAATTACACAACATTATGTTATGATTTTCCCCTTGTCAAAAGAATCACGGAAATGTATTTAGTAATAATGATGTGAATACGCATTTACAATAAACAGCACCATTTTCAGTGGAATACACAGCAAAAATGTCTCAACCTCATATTTATCATAGTTTATAATAGTTGCTAATCCTTACACCCCCCCAGCTGGCAGTAATTGGGGTAAAAATAGCTCTTACCACTCCACTGGTATATGTAGCCAAGCTGTGATCACTGCTTTCAGTTATGTAATACACATGGCTGTATCCCACAGTTCCCACAGTAGCCGAGTATGATTTGCTCCAAGAAAATGCCTGTCCACAATTTTTTGCATGTGGGAAATCGCTAGCCTACCGGGCTTGTATGAAATAGTGCAGTTCAATTTGTGTTTATTGTCCTGATTTGGAAGGGTGACCGAACCTTTATGCACCTCCTGCTTATTGTATTTTCGTGACACTTTCCAAAATCTATAAATATTTAAAATATGATTGTTTATTAGGCTGAAATGACAGTTTGTAGATTAAAGGAGAACTATGAGGTGAGTGAAAATCACTCAGCCTCATAGTTCGACTCAATCACGTCGGCTCAATAGATCGGGGAGTGAGCGAACACATACATTCATTGCTGTATAATTTTACACTTTCCTTTTCACTATATTGCACACCACACTATTTTTTTCCACCGCTCCAAGCTTGCTCCTGTGATGGACTACAATCTCAATACAAACTAGTAGTCCATCACTGGAGCCATTTTTAATTTTTTTTTATTGTTTATCCGATTAACCGATTAATCGAACTTAATAATCGGCTAACTAATCGATTTTGAAAATAATCGTTAGCTGCAGCTCTACATAACGTCGCTCGCTCACTTCTGGATCATGTCCCTGCAGAGAGCGGTGACTATCACTCGCGGCTCCCTGCAGGGATTCCCCCCTCCCCTGTCCGACCTTCCAGCGCTGACTGGCGGAACGGACGGGGGAGGGAGCAGGTACAGCTTGCTCTGCCTCTAGATAGGCAGAGCCAGCTGTTGATCACGCAGCTGTGTGGATCCAGACAGTAATGTCGGGATCTGACCCGTCTGCGGCGGACTCCGTATAGCTCGCGGTATACTGAGCTTTGGGTCACGGGAGGATGCTAGTTTGTGTCCTCCCGTGACCCTGGGGAGAACTATTGTGAAAACCACTGACCCCATAGTTCTCCTTTTTAAGTGATTTTTCTTTTGCAATAGCTTTTGTATGGTTGAATTATGTGTATAAAATGTGGTCATATACTTTATGCTTTGGCATGTTTTATCATGATTCAGTCAACTTTGACCACTTCTTTATTAAAATTGTTGCTCTCATTTTAATAAAATAAAACTTTCAGTGTAGTCAGCCAATATTAGTTTTGTTGAGCATCTAATGCTCACATCTTTTGGATTTGGACAAATTTGTGATGCTGAAGATCTGTCCGTCCAATTATGGAGCATCTGGATTCCCTGGAGTGTTGTTGTTGTAATGTAAATCTATATTATGTATTAAAATACAGACACATTACTATGTTATAAACTTAATATTTTTTACTTAATTTACAGATTCCTGTGACTGGGCTACCCTTGAAAGTCCTCCCTCTCATGGGCATCATCTTTGGAACAATTTATTCCTGTAACAACTACTTTAGAGTCATTCTCAGTGGTGGAGTGGGAAAAAATGGATCCACTGTAGCTGTAAGTGAATTTGAAACTACGTGTTTGTCAATTACTTTAAAAATCTCTCTCAATTCCACGGAAACGCACCTTTCTTGATGTATACCTCCTATTTTTTATCATCCTGCTTAGAATGACTCCGTTTCCCCAAAAAAGGACCCTGTAAAAGATATGGAATTATAATTACATGTACCAACACCATTGCCTTTAATCCCCACTGTCTTGTGGAATTATACTGGTCTAAAGCCTGTGTCACCCTCTTCAGTTCTGTGGCTCCATGAGCCAGCCACTTTGTTACTCGTGTGTTCTAGATCCTGCTGGGTAACCTCAGTGGGGCTTCACTGCAACCTCAGGATAGCCAGGCCTAGTGTAGGCAGCATTTAGAGCTTCTTTTCCAAGTGGCACCCAGACATCCCCTCCCAAAATCTGTTTCATGTTGGTGACCTATTTAGGGGCCACTACATTACACTAGGGAATGTGCTCAACTTTCTAAAATGTCAAATTCCTGCATAGGAGTATCCAAGGCTTTCAGAAGAAGCAGGATCTTCAAGTATTGGGTGAGGCTTAGTACACCTTGCTCAACATTTGCATCTAGATGACTAATTTGTATCTTTCAACAGGTTTAAATTTACACCTCTTAGTGATAAAGCTTCAGAAAATGTTTTTGCTTCTGGGGACCGTAGTAATTTTGTCTTTTTTGCTATATAGGGCAGGGCCTTCCTTACCATCCTGTCTTGAATTGTATTGTAATTGTAATGTCTTCCTTACATTGTAAAGCGCTGCGCAAACTGTTGGCGCTATATAAATACTATGTAATAATAATAATATGTTTGTTTAACCATCATTTTCATCTTCCTCATGCATTGCACCTACACATATTATATACCATTTTAAAGGCGAAAATGGGCTTTAATTTGATGTGACATATGCATATAAAAATTCTTTTTTTTTTTTTTTTTTTTTTTTTTTTTAAATGCAAAGCAAATGAAACAAAAACAATTTTTTCACAATTCTGGCAATAATGTGTACATAATTAGTGTAGCTAACAGAAAGTAATTGATAATACAGTAAACTCTCTTATCTGGTATTCAACTAACCAGACCTCTTATCTAACTGGGGGGAAAAAAATCCCCTGTGTACTCACTGATCTGCGGCATGTATTATCCTGGAAACGATCGTGTGCCTATTTGTCTTAGTTTGCTATAGATTGCTGCATTTCAATATTAATATGAAGTCAATACAGACTTTGAGTTTATGATATGGTATAGTAGTTGTTAAATGTTATTTAAATTGCATTATAAGTCAGTGCAAAGTGCAGTATTTCTTATCAAGAATTGATCGTGTATATGTCTGACTACAGTAAACTGTAATCTGATTGGTTCCAGTGGTTTAACACACTTTGCACTGACTTGTCATATAAGCCTATTTCTATTGAAATGGATTTCCTGTTCTCTGCAATAAAATAAATAAAGCCCTTACAGAGAAATAGTGATACTTCTTAGTTCTTCCATACAGAAATCATACAATTGATATGTATATAAAGGTGAAGGTACAATAAGCATTTTTTATTCTCACAGGGAACAAGTGTACTATCTCCTGGCCTGCATATTGGACTGGTGCTCATATTAGGATTAATGATCTATGTGAAATCAACAACAGATTTATTCTACAAACATCCAAGTCTTTACACACTGACATTTGGGTTTGTAAGTGCCAAGATCACTATTAAGCTTGTGGTAAGTTTTTCCATCATTCCTTTATTGAACAACAGAAATGCTGAAAGCACTGTTAAGGCCTCAATGAGAAGGGGTGTACATGTCCATGCGGCGTTCACACCCATAAACGGGCTGATCCTGGGAGGGACAGGTGTTGCGCAGAGCAGCCTGTTCTTCCCTATGGGAGGATGTAGCTGTGCACTGTCATACTCTCACCGGAACTTGCACATCCGTGCGGGTCCGGGTTTCCGCACACTGTTAGCATCCAATGCGGATACCCAGACCCGCACGGATGTGCAAGTTTGGGTGCGCATATGACAGCGTACAGCCACATCCTCCCATAGTGAATAACAGGCTGCTGCGCGCAGTCACATGCAGCACCTGTCCCTCCTGGGATCGGCCTGTTTACGGGCCTGCATGCCGCACGGACGTGTACGCCCCTTCTGAGTGAGGCTTAATGCATTGCAACCAGCTTGTTCAGCTGTTGAAATCTTCATTGTATGCGTTACCGTACATCATGGTACTGAATAATCCCTCAGCTTTTCATACATACTGTATAAAAGAGACTTAACATTATTATATTTCCAACTAACATTTGGGAATGGAGCATGTGTATTGAAAAATATTAGTAAGTAGTCATTCAAAATGCACTGTTAATGCTATTTAGCAGGTTACCCATAGAAGTTGAGTTAGTTTTCTTTACAGTGTTGCATAGTGTTCAGCAATTCATGTGACATCAAGGATGCAGAGCCCGCATTGAGACCAGTATTCCGTAGCCCTGTATAGTCTCAGGCTAAAGTGTGGCAAACTAAAATAAATACAATGACACAAATTCTGCCTAGAACTTAAAGCAGAACGCCAAGCAAACAGCTGCACTGTTAAAATACTACTTTTTTAAAAATGTTTACATATGATTTGCTCTATAACCCCATTTTTTGAGAAAAGGCTGGTGGGAGTACATGAGAAAAAATATATATATACAGGTGAAACTCGAATAATTAGAATATCGTGCAAAGTTCATTTATTTCACTAATGCAACTTAAAAGGTGAAACTAATATATGAGATAGACTCATTACATGCAAAGCAAGATAGTTCAAGCCGTGATTTGTTATAATTGTGAGGATTATGGCTTACAGCTCATGAAAACCCCAAGAACCCCAAATCCACAACCTCAAAAAAGTAGATTATTACATGCAATCAATAAAACAAGGATTGTACATAGAACAATATCGGACCTCTGAAAAGTACAAGCATGCATATGTACTCAGTACTTGGTTTGGGCCCCTTTTGCAGCACTTAATGCAATTACTTTTGCACGATATTCTAATTATTCGAGTTTCACCTGTAATTGTTTTTTTCTATGTTGCCAATTTACACTGTCTTCCGTATTGGAATCTGTGACTGGTATGCCCCTGAGGATAGGTGCTGAAATGGCTGAGGATGGCGCTACTCAGATCAGTGAAGATGCAAAATGTCACCAGCACACTGTAGAAATGTGTCCAATAAAATATCTTTATTGATATATATACATTTTGTCACAAGAATAGCTACATTTCAGGGCCGCGTAGGGTCCCTTCATTGGGACACATTTCTACGGTATGCTAACGACATTTTGCATCTTCATTGATATCTGTATAAAAACACATTCTGACCTCACAAAATTGCTATTATACTACAGCAAGAGTAAGTGTCCTGGGTCGGATTGGCAAACAAGGCTGTTTTTAACCCATGTTGCCCAGCAGTGGGCAGGGTTCCATATGATTAGTTGTGCCAGGAAGGCATCTAGTTGATCGTGGATTTCATTCAGTGTCATGAACACGTGCCATTGTGTGACTGGTTATTCTGCTTGTTGGCCTGTTTGTGACATTGTCACTGTATTTTGGGTGTAGTACAAAGATAATTACATGAGCTATAATGATCTGTTTGACGTATATACATTTAATGTCGCCTCCTATTTGTTTTTCATTGTTAATTAAACTTTTTTTTTTTTCCTTTCTTTAGATGGCACATATGACCAAAAGTGAACTGTATATTCAGGATAGTGCATTTATTGGACCAGGTCTTTTATTCCTAGACCAGTACTTCAACAGTTTTATTGATGAGTACATAGTTTTGTGGATAGCACTAGTAAGTATCTTTTACAGTTATCCGACATGTGTAATTCAATGGCATCATGTAGGGTTGCATATAGTTCATACATTTTGGATTAGGGATGTTCAGATACCAGTGCCGATACTTGGCATTTTCATGAGAACCACCAGGGTTGCAGCGGTTGCAGCTGGGACCTGGCTCTGGTGCTCCACCACTGTCCTGAAATCATTAGTCTGTATTGTTTTAGAAAAACTGTCACAGGACAATTAACAAAAATGTATCAGTACTTGTATCTGTGAGTACTTGGGCAAGTATCAGTACTCGTACTCGCAAAACTGGTATCGGTGCATCACTTTATTTATATTTATAAAAACAAAAGCGTACATTAAAACAGAGATGTACAAATCCCAGGAGCTCCGTGTGCTCCTTACAAATGACAATTGCCTCCTAACTATTGAATTTTTCTATAGTCTAGTCTTGGAGCTGGAAAAGTATCTGTACTTGTACCGAGTATGGTACTTGGTATCTTGTACTTGGCAAAATAGTATCGGTGCATCGTAAATATATTTATTTAAAAAATGCATTAAAATGGGGATGCACAAATCAAAGGATCTATTAAAAATTAGCAAAAAGTATAATTTCCCCCATCTATTAAAAATTCTTTAACTACCTCCCGGCCGGCCGTTGTACATAAGCTTCTTGGATGTAACAGGCCGTGTATATACGGCCTGTTAGCCTCGCCCACTCGTGCAGTGAGCGGGAAAGACACAAAATTTAAAAAGGCAGCGATGCCAGTTAACATCCAATCGATCCGCCGGCTAAAGACCCCTGATGTCTCCATAAAGAGGACCTGTCACATCTTTTGCTATCACATAGGAGGGGTTTCTTAGCCCCCTAATGTGATAGCAATAAATTTAAGTGAAAATAAAAAAGGAAAAAAAAATTAGTTTCCAAAAAAAATTGAAAGTTACACATAAAGATTTTTAAAACTATTTTTTCAAAAACAAATTCCCTACCCATACATACACGCATGCAAACATGTGTCAGGTGTGCATACCTCAATTTTGGGGACGGTAGTTTTTTTGCGATTTTCGCGGGTGCACGCAATTTTTAAGCTTGACATGTTTGGTGTCCATTTACCCGACGTGACCCGATCTTTTATATTTTACCCCCAAAAATGGGTAATAATAAATGTTTCATAACATAATGTAAAACTTCTTTTTTTTTTTGCAAAATTTTCAGTAATTTTCCTGAAATATAGTAAAAAATAAAATCTGCAGTGGTGATTAAATACCACCAAAAGAAAGCTCTATCTGTCCCCACAAAATTATATAAAATTTATTTCAGTACAGCGTTGCATGATGGAATAAATATCAGTAAAGTACCGCAGTGCTGAATACTGAAAAAGGGCCTGGCCAGGAAGGGGGTCTAAACACCTGGTCAGCAAGTGGTTATAAGGCATCTGCAATGAATAACTAACATTATGGCCAAAGTGCAGCCACTACAATATGCTTGAAAAGTAACTTATTATTCAGCAACTCCTCTTGTGCCTCTGGGAGTCCCTGACTTACTTTGCAAACAGATCTTATCTTCAGTCCAACTCTAATCTCTGCCATTCCACATTTCAGTGAGGTCATTTCTATGAAATCCCAACATCAGCCAAAATGTATTATTTTGCTTGAAAGCGATAGAAAAATCTTTCCAGTAGTGACACGAAGTAAAACACATTTTAGTGGAGAAGGGTTAGCACTTTGAGTTAGGGCTTTTCCCCATAGTTCTCCTTAGTGTAACGGGAGGACATAAACTAGCGTCCTCCCGTCACCCTAAGCTCAGTATACCGCAGGCTACAGCTCGCGGTATACTGAGACGCCGCAGCCGGGACGGATCCCGACAATACTGTCTGGATCCACCCAGCTGCGTGAGTGACAGCTGGCTCTGCCAGCTGTACCGTCCCTCGTCTGTTCCACCAGTCAGCGCTGGAGGATTGGACAGGGGAAGGGGGGAATCCCTGCAGGGAGCCGTGAGTGACAGTCACGGCTCTCTGCAGGGATAGATCGAGAAGTGAGCGAACGATGCTTTTTTTTTCTGTTTATGAATATTATGCCCACATATAAATGCACTATTGTTCTTCCTCCTTCTCTAGTTTGTCCCCAAACCGCTAACAGCCCCCTCATGGGCTCTTTCGGGTGTCCCCATCAGCTAGGTGGCGCAAGTGTGAATTCCCGCACCAAGCTGTGTGCCATAGACACACACAGCATGTGGCAAGCCGGGCCCCCTGCTCCCTTCTTCCAACAGATTGGTGGCAGAAGGAGCCAGTCGCTTCTCTGCCCTCAGTATCCTTCCCCAGCATCAGAAAGTTCGGGAATGTCGAGTATCTTCCTGGTCCTGGTGAAGGTGACAGTGACCTCAGGTAAGTGTGGGGCAGGACAGGGGAACAAAGAAAGGTACTGGACGTTTTGTTACCTTAATGCAGAGCGTGCATTAAGGATAAAAAAAGCCCAGCCACTACAACCACCCTTATCTCTGCAGTGTTTACACTTACAATAGATCTAATCAGTTTATGTAAATTCATTTTTATTAAAAACATGCTAACCCCTCCGTTGAGATATTTTTAATGGCTGCTTTCAAAAGATGTGTCCTCAGATTTAAATATCATTCTTTGTACATGTGATCTGCACTGTAAGTGCCTGATGATCAAACCACATGTCCCACAATTCAATCATGCGCCCAACGGTATGCCTGGATAGGTGGGCGGGGGAGGTATGTAACCATTCACTGGCTTCTCACTGCTCTGTAACCCAAATATGAAACAATGTATTCAATGGGAGGATGAATGAGGAGCATCCAGGGAAATACTGTTCATGTGTGGATGAGCGAGACGGTAGCTACACATTCCTGCCACCATGGGAGTGGGCTGAAAGCCTAGCACACACTTGCTGGGAGAGAAGAGAGTTGCAAGCTGGGAGTTAATGGCACATACCATTCGTGCTGGCTTATAGGCAGGATGGTGTTGATCACACAGAATGCAACTTTTTTGGTCAGGTATCCAATTTAAGGGAAGCTGAATTTCTCTACAATGCACAATGATTCCTAACCTGCTAGGGCTCATTGACTGCACTACAATAGTTACTTTAAAGGTGAACTGACCCTTTAAATGTGAAGAACAGAAAGATGAAGGCTGGGAAATTTTACTTACATAAAATAAAAACTTGTACCCTGGTAAGTGGCCACTCATAAACCCAAACTCATATACTTTAAGTCCATTAGACATCGAAGTACAACAAAAATATTAAGGCCAGTTTGTATTTTTTTTAAGCACTATCAGGTGCAGGAACTTCCTGCAGAAGTAAAGTGTACACACAAAAATCCTAGAAAAAGTGAATTTTGAAACCAAATCAATTTAATAATTCAGTTAAAAGCAAAATAGGCCCTCCACGTGCGATGGTAAATTTTCCTAGAAACCGCTTTGCGCGTCCTGAGCATAGTGGAAATGATCGCTTCGGACAACCCCCGGTCCTTCATAAAAAAATTCTCCACTTCAGCTCACTTTCCAGTTCAGCTATGTTGTCCTAGATTGTTCCCTTCTCCGGCCTTCTCCAAACTCTTCACCCTTTTCTGAATAACCCTGTTAATCTTTAACATGAACCCACTTTTTTTTTATGTAACCTTCATTCCTAAATGTTACCATTTTTAAATGTACCCAATTTAAAGGATAACTGTACCCAAAAATGTAATATCTAGCAAAAAAAAATATAAGACAGTGTCTTATTTTTGGGGAAACACGGTAGTCCTTCGATGTGGTGGCTGTGTAGTTTTTCCCATCTCTACTTTTCCCATCAGCTATGTGCCGATCATGAAAGACAATGGCCTCTAGAACGTTGGTTCTCAACTGGTGGGTCGCGACCCCATGTTCAGTGAGTCGTGACATGCCTTCATTCTAGGTGAGAGACTCTTCAGCCTCCCCCTAGCGCAGCACCGTCAGTTCTTGTGCCGAGCAGCCATTCAAAATATGGTCCTGCATGTCCGCTTGAGGTGGGGTGGGCTGGAAGTATGGTCATAAGGGAGCTCCATCCATATCTGCATTGTTTGTACAGCTCCCTTGCACTGCCTGTAAAGGTGCCTGGACTGCCGTCACATTCTGGCTCCCGGCACCTCTACAGGGAGTGCAAGGGAGCTGTACAAACAATGCAGATATGAATGGAGCTCCGTCATAGCACAGCAGCCCACACTGGACCCCAGGCTGAGGATCCATTCCAGTTCTCATGGTAGGGAGACTGGGTGGATCTTAAAAAGAAAAAAATATATATTTTTTGGAGTGTGTATGTGTGTGATTGTGTCTGTGTGTGACTGTCAAGAGTTTTTGATGGTCTGTTCACGCTAGTACAGTGCGTTAATCACACAGTCCCATGCAATTAATGCACTCTACCACACAATCGCATCTACTGCGTGTTCTGGTGTGGAAGATGCGTTGCCTTGTCCATTGAATTGAATGACAGCCCATACGAACCTCCCACCCACAGTCCGATCGCCTGCACCCAAATGCCCGGTACTGCGATGCCGTGCATTCCATTGCAGCGTGACTTGGATCGCTGCATAATGACCAAGGACAAATGTGGGTCCTGAGGTTACACAGGTTGCGAACCACTGCTCTAGAACACATGAGACTCCTGGAAGGCCTATCAAGCATTGTAGATTGTTCTTGACTAGTGTTCATGTGTAGTATGATCACTCATGCATGCTGTTTCTAGTTGCTGTAAAATGAAACTCGAAAGAGCGTGACATTAATCATATTTTTCTTTTTCTTTTTTAGGTTATTTCTTTGTTTGAATTGATAAGATACTGCATAGGCACTTGCCTACAAATAGCAACACATCTTCGGATATCTGTCTTCAGAATCCCTCCTATCCCAGCTGCTGAGCAGGTTCAAAATCATGCTGACTGACTGACTGCTAAAACAAATGGAGGAAAAGAAACAGGGGGGAGGATATCTATTTGTATGGTACCATGGAAAATAAAAGGACTCAATGAGACCTAAATCAATGATTGCCAAAGATGGCATTATGGCAATTCGTTTTCTTAATTTAAATATAATTGAAAAAAAGAGCAAGTCCATTGGATTCTATGCTTGTGCAGTGTTCAAGCACGAACATAACTGCTGTTTTGCTCATGCATTTTAAGAAGGCATGGGTAAGATAATGGTGTTCTCCAGCATATTTTCAGTGACCGTATACTCATTATCGGCTCATTTTTGATAATGTGGCTACTGAGTTGTAGTGTTTTAAAGCATCGTTTGTTTGCCTGTTGTAGTAAATTGTTGGTGATTAGCATATTGGGCTTGCCAAAGTGAATAGATGTAACCTAACCTATAAATATAATTGCCGTGCATTATTTTAGAATCTAAATGGATTTACTTTTTTTATTTAATTAATGGTTTTAATTGTTTAACAATTACAAGTTTCTTCTCCTCCATGAGAGCAGTTCTAAATTTTCTCATTCTTATCGTAAAAAGGAAATTTAGTTTTAATTTGTTTTATTTATTGAATAATATAAAAAAGCAGCTAACAAGCTTTCAAATGATCATGCTTAGGAGCTGAAGGACATGCTTCTGGACCAATGTGATCTTTTTTTATTGCTTGTTTGTAATAACCTTTATAACATTGAGACAGAATCCAGTTGTACATTATTAAACTGGAAATAATCTCCTGAAGCACCAAGCCACGTGGTATTTGTGCTCTGTGGAGCTGATTTTTTTTTCTTTCAAAAACGGAATAGAAATTGATAGTTTATTCATTTATCTTTTAATAAATGTTTTATTTTGTACAGGTAACTGTCTTTTGTTTGAAACATAGCATACTTTGAAAACTACTAGCTCTGAAAATGACTACACAAAACACATACAAATGGAAAAATGCAGTATGGAAGCTTTAGCTTCTCAGACCTGTGGAGTTAGCAGGGGTTACAGTGTTCGCATGGCTGACCGAGATAACTGTGCACATTTTTGGCAACTGAGCAACCTCCATCCTTTTAATACATTTAAAAAAATAACATGGGTTACCACTACATTCACAATTTTTGGTGTGCACTGCATTTTCACCATGTGAATTTGTACTTATGTATATATTAAAGAACCTTTTCTAAAGCAGTTCTCAACTCTGAGGTTAGGACCATTCTACTCCACCCTACAGGAAAGTAGTCAACATGTAAACTATATGGAGTCAACATAAACTTATACAAAGCAGGTTATGTGGCACTCTGGTTCAGGTCATGTGACTAGCACCAGCCCTACATCGTGGTAGCTGGCATCAGTGGGGGTCTTCATTTACTTAAAACATGTTTCTGAAAACAACATGTTTTCGGCAGCATCAAGTCTTGGGACTCTGGGCAAGAGTTTCATGGGATTGCTTTTTACGTATGTTAAAGGCTTGGTTCCCGTTTGGACCATGTTTCATGTAAAGGTGCCCATACACTGCACGATTATCGTACGATAATCGTATGCGATCGGTTTTTCGTACGATAATTGAGCAGTGTGAACGGAGACGTGCGACCGTTTCTACTGTACGGTCGCACGTCTTCTGTCGAACCAGCATGTTCGAAAACCTGCCGGGAATCGTACGATTCTCTGCTGGTTAGAACGGTGCTCGGAAGACAAATGCCGAACGGTTGTAGAGTGTATGGCCACCTATACATTGGCACCCTTCCCGCCCCACTTACCTGAATTGCAGGCCGCTGCTGTATTCTGAATTCAGCCCTGCTGTGCATGGCTCCGCCCGCACAATCACATCATCTATTCACAGATCCTTTGATAGGATCTCTGAAAGGAGAAACTATTAGTCACCACACCTTGTAGTCCATTCATTCTTCCTCCCCCCCAATGTTACTGAATGTTTATACCATGGAGATAGCCTGCAATAGCCAGAACATTGCACCTGTGATCTACTGATCATACTTTTCATTTTTTTAAGCTTGCCTGATGGAGTAAAATGAACCTAACTTTAGAGTTTGTCTGCTTCAGGCATTTGCTTAATGTTCCTTGCTGAGGGGCATTCCCTTCCCCCTTTATACTGTGAGGGGAATGTATCAAAACTGGAGCAGACAAAATCTGGATCAGCTGTGCATGGCAACAAATCAGCTCCATTTTCACATCTTAACTGGCGAAACTGCTGATTGGTTGCCATGCACAGCTGCTTCAGATTTTGTCTGCTCCAGTATTGATAAACTCCCCTTTGTATGTACACAGGCATAAATTGGTTCATTGTCACTACCTTTACACAAAAACAAAGCAAAACGGTTTTACACATTAACATTTCATGTTTCTTTAGCTGTGAAAATAAACCAAACTTAATTTAACTTTGTAAAATCAGAAGTGGTAATGGGGCTTGTTCTTTTTGGTGGATAATCCTTTAATTATATGTTTAAATAGGTACACGTTATTCCTTCAGGGAGCCATCAGAATAACATTGACTGAAGAGACTTTCGAACACTTGCCATCTCTTGCTGTTGCTGGCAGAAGAAGAAAGAATGACATAAGTTAAAACTATTTTTATATTTACCTCATATATTTTGTTAATAAAGCTGAAACTAAAAAAAAAACAAAAAAAAATTATTGTTAATGAATGTCTTGCATGACAATGCAATCACTAGAATTTAACTTACAGTGTCCATAAGAATTTTCTTCTGTAACATAGCCATTTCCTTTCTGAGCTCATTTTGAGCACCGGATAGAAGGTTTGCTTGGTTCTTTTCCAGATCATGCATGTTCTGCAAATATTGAGATTTAGGAAATAACGCCCGGTAACAAATATACACTTTTACATTCTAAGCTGTAGTATCTCTCTCCTGTCTTCATCTGCGCTACAGCTATTGCCAACTCCTAAACAAATGCAGATTTTTACGATTTAAAAAGCAGAAATCAGTTAAAGAATTTTCAACTTTGTAGATAAAAATTGGAAAGTTGGAGGAAGCTGGTGAGCAACAGGGATCAACCATTGAAATATTTCATCAGATCAATAGACTGGCATGGGTCCTCAGGTGGGGTAATCTTGGATCATGCTCCTGCTCACCAACTAAACGTGTTTTTAATTTTATAGCTAAAATTTCCTTGGGAGTAATGGTGTAAAATGTGCAGCAACGCAGATCCGAGTCCAAGTAAGAGGAGAATGAATCGGGATAAGTTGTTACACAAAAATACCTTGGTGGTGGTAGCTAGGTAATAAACACACAACTGTCCAGGCTGTTTAAACATGCAGCCAATTTCCAATAATGAGACTGTTCTTTAAAGAAAACCTGCAATGAGAGAAATCTGTAGGTTGCCACTGCTGATTTCTGAAAAATGCTAGTTACCCAATTGGTGCTCTGATCCAGCAATCAGTAAACCTGAAATCCGTATGCACATCAGGTTTTCTGACCTTACTATATGACCTTGCTTAGTCCAAGTCAGTGACTCAAAAAGCATTAAAGCCATCTAGCAATGGCAGCTTACATGTTTAATTTATTACCACAAATCCTGCTGACAACTTGGGTCACAAAAAAAAAAGATTGCAATCCTTTCACTACAGCCTTGAGCCCATGTTGATTGTCTAAGTTTTAATAGGCAGTCCATTTAGCTATGCAGTAAAACCCTGTTTTGAGAAGAATATGTGGGTCATGCTAATGCACTTTTATACATGTATTGCAGAACATATATTTATCAAACATTTTCCCCAGTTTTCTTTAAAACTAAAGAGCATAGGAATCTTCTTTTAAAAATTACATGATACAGGTAATTCATTCTGTTATGAGGATACATGCTGTACCATAAATGTGGTTATTTTTTTTTGTACCTGTTGTACTTTGTAAATCTTTAATAAAACTACTTTAAATGTTGGTGAAGTACAATTTGTATTTTTTTTTCACTTCAGTAACCATGGCTCATACTGCCCTACTCTCTTACTTTTTATACACTAATAATACTTTCTGGGTAAGTCACTAAAATAATGAAAAATGGTTTCCAAATGAACCGATGTGCAGGTGCCTCCACATAAATATGTCTTTTTTCCAGACCGAGTATGAGTACCATTACTTTACCTCAAGTACTCGCAGATACACATACATTCAACCCTTTTCAAGCATGCCTGGAAACCCCGAAACATATGGTATCCTTCTCTTCTGATTCAACACTTACTAGTAGTGTTAAATGTAGGTCTGTGCCCTCGGGCTCCTTCCTATTGGCCCACTGCTAAGATGAGCAGCCTCCCTGGTAAAGAGGAGGTTTTCGGGATCCCTGGCTGCACTCCAGTAGGGCTGAAGGTGTATTCAGGCAACTCCAAGGCTGAACTGATAACACTAAACTGATGAGCTGTAAAAGCTTTTAAAGTGTCGCCTATGGCCAATTTTGGGTATGGTAGTTTTCTGCAATTTCACGGGTGCGCGCAATTTTAAAAGCTTGACATGTTTGGTGTCTATTTACCCGACGTGACCCCGTCTTTTATATTTTACAAAAAAACTGGGTAATAAGTGTTTCCTAACATAATGAAAAAAAAAAACATTTTTCCAAATTTTCAGTAATTTCCCCTAATTATAGTAAAAAATTAAACCCGTAGTGGTGATTACATACCACCAAAAGAAAGCTCTATCTGTCCCCAAATATGGTATAAAATTAATTTCAGTACAGCGTTGCATGACGGAATAAATGTCAGTCAAAGTACCGCAGCGCTGAACACTGAAAAATGGCCTGGCCAGGAAGGGGGTCTAAACACCCGGTCTTCAAGCAGTTAAAGAAACTCATAGTTATTTTCTATAGCTAATTTTTCAGGAATTTGTAGCTCAGTTTTAGGAAGATCGCCATAGACAATTACTCTTCATTCAATTCTGTCAGCTTAGCCACAAATCGCTGAAGAAGAGCAATTTGTAGCAGAGTATAACAATCTAATGCTATAGTACTAGTTTACCTTGTAGCAGCAACAAATTGCTTCTTAGCCACAAATCTCAAGCGACTCTGGTAATGACATTGCTAGCTACAAATCTCTGGTAATTGCTGGCATTAGTAATTTCTAGCAGCCATTAATCTCTTCTAGAAAATCATGCCGTCAGTGTGTGTGTGTATGTATATGTGTATGGGTTTCCATAGCTGAGCAGCTGCATCCAAGCCTTACATCACCAAGCGCAATGAAAAGCGTCGGATGCAGCGGAGTGTGTGGAGTGTGTGTGTGTGATATACTGTATATACAGGTGAAACTGGAATAATTAGAATATCGTGCAAAGTTCATTTATTTCACTAATGCAACTTAAAAGGTGAAACTAATATATGAGATAGATGGGTATTCGTTAACACAATTAATCCCATTCAATACTGTTGTTCCAGTGCTTCAGTTTGGAATGGTAAAGACTTTCTATGTAACATGGCCCCTGCTGTTGTGTCTTTAACATAACCAACAACAGTTTGATGCACTGCATTCTAGGGCATTCTTCCACAACTAGTGTCATACTTCAGAACAATATAAGGATAAAAATAAGATTTTTGTACTTGCTGTCATTTTTTTTTTTCTTGATATACATTGACATCAAGAAAAAGTTGTTGACTTAAACTTCATACCTAAAAATATATGGTTTAATATGTCTAGCGACTATTTGATATAGATGTACTATGCATGTATTACCATCGATCTTGCAGTACGAGCGTATATCTACTAAGAGAAGGAATGTTCAGGAGATTTCAGACGATACAGCTTATTTGATGTCTGATGGATGTATTATGTGCCATTGTATCTGCTGGTTCAGTATGAATGTACGAAGCAATGTTTTATATGCATATAAACCAATAAAAATACTTAAAGTTTAAAAAAAAAGAAAAAGTTGTTGTTATTGTTTAATGACAGATCAGCGTTCCCAGGTCATTTTGGTGATGCTGATCTGTCATTACAACTGGGCGGAGCCAGCCGTGATCCCAGCTATCATTTGCGGGAAGAACGGCCGGCCTTCGGCAGGCCGGTCTCCCCGCTTCGGCTGTCACTTCGGCTCAGTCAAGCCAAAAGCATATGCCTTTGGCTTGGCCGCCTTTGGCTGCTGTGCGGGCTATTGTGAATAGCCCGTACAGCAGCCCTTCGGTTCGGCTGAAAATATCAGCCGAAGCCACGGCTGGATCCTTCGGCTCTTTAGTGGATAACCCACTAAATGTTACGTAAAAATAATTTTTTGTACAATTATATTTTAATAGCATACCTTGATATTTACTATTCTGTACATAATTATTGTTCATGTACATGTATATCCAATCATTAATAAACATGGGAAATACCTTTAAGAATTGTTCATACAGTTGCTTGATTGTTTTCAGTCTATGGTTCTGCACTACTCTGGCCTGCTGAAAAAGTTTTTGCTGTTGGCGGAACATATTCTAACATGTAAGGCAAATGGAAAAAAAGCATTTATACTGTTGTAATCATTGACATATTACTTAAAATATGCAGCGATTTTCCTTACAGATAAAAAAAAAATTCCTAATGAATTTTTTTAGCTCTAAGAATGAACACTGCAACATTTTAATAGAAACACAAAGATATATCTGCACTTCAGTATCAACTAAAGTGTGACACAGGAGCCCTAAAATTTAGGGAGCTCTATTGTGGAAATACAGGCTTCAGCAAGAACGTGGCTAGTGCAGCCTGGTGGTGTTTCATATATATTTGCTTGTAGTTGGGCATTAATATATTCAGTGATACCAAGCAGATTAGCAAATATCTCTTACCTCTGCCTTTTCTTTCCCTTGGCTTTGAGAGCTGTCCTCCCAGGCCAATACGTGTGCAAATATAGGAAAATATAGCATTATTTACATTTATCCTGTCTGCATCTGACTGTAGTGGCAGACAAGGACCTTAAAGCGTGGATAGCATGTGCTCCACATACCTGTTTAATGATATAATATAGTGCATGTGATTGCTAGAGTTCATGTACTGATATAGTCAGACAACCCCTATATAAGTTTAGCTAGCCTTGCCCCCTCCCCCATAATTTCGTAATTCTGGAACGTGTAAAGCTTATCTAGACTGATTGTTTTTAGTCATGTTGTTAGATACTGTATGTGCTCTGCACAGTGTAGCTTTTTATGCAGGAACTGCCTTTCTAGCAGTTTGGGATTTCTACTGAACAGATGAGTGCAGTATAGAAATCAGAGCCGTGACAGGATCGAGAGGCGAGCGAACCCGGTATGTGTTCGCTCACTTCCCGATCTACTGAGCCGACCTGTGACAGTCTCATTGTCACAGGTCGGCTAGAACTATGAGGTGAGTGAAAAGCACTCACCTCATAGTTCTCCTTTAAGGAAGTGACAGTTTTCAAAGAAATGGAAAGAGAAGGTAGTGGTAAGAGGGTAGACAGTATTTGCCAAGTTGTTTGGTATTCCTGCATTTACGAAAAGTAAGTATATAAAGTAAGAAAACAACCAAAAGCATGTGCTGTATTTTTGTAATTTATTTTAAAAAAATTCATTTAATTCAAGGGTGCACAGATACTAGACTCTTCCATGCAATACAGTGTAGCCAGACTAAAGAAGGAAATGTTATTATGAGCATGCACAGTGTGAAACGTATATTTTTAAATGGAATAAGTTTTATTTGACGCAGTTTTTATACACCTGTCAGCAAAATATGGCATTTGATTTTGCTGGGTATTGCTGATATTTTTTACTAAAAGCAATTCAAAATCTGTGCAACCATGTTGATACCACATTGAAAAAAGTTCATTCTTTAGCCACCCTCCTTTTAAAATATACCCTAAATTTATGTATATCATTGGTTTTCAAAGGATATACTAACAGTTAGCTTTTCTTCTTGCTCCTCTGATTTATGTACATCAGCTTCCCACTGTTCAAATAATGCCTGAAACTGCTGAGAATATTCACTGCTCAACTTCTGCCTGAAAAAAGTAAAATGCATTTATAAAATAAACATTAATAAAACAACTGTCGTGCTGTCAAACAAAGTGTCACACAAAATATTATCCAAATCTGTCTCCTAACATCTACACAATAATGTGTGAAAAATATAAATCCCAATCTAGTTATTAAGAATATCTGTAAAAAATAAGTCTTGCTGTATTTTTCTTGAAGACGTTTCATCCAACCAGCTTTCTCAATTCAGAACGAACAACAGTTGCCTTGACTTATTTTTACAGATATACCATGACCTGCATGAATGACAATAATGTGTGAAAAATATAAATACCAATCTAGTTATTAAGAACTCCTACATAATATAAATAAACGCACATGAACTATGCATGAGCAAATGTCTATATAAAAGATGACAACAAATGTATAAATGTGACTTTGTGGTCATCCACATTAATATAGTGTTAAAGTGCAAAAGTGTTCAATCCACATAAAGTGCTTCAGTCATGCAAACAACATTGGTGCATTGTTGGTGTATCCACTCGTATTACATATATCGACCGTGTCCTCACGCGTGTGAAATAACAATGTCTGCATCCCACCTTATGGATAGACCTCTCAGAGGGAAGGTCATCAGCGCATCTAGTGTATTTATATTTTATATAAAATAAACATGATAATGTTAACCAGAGTGTTTTCATCAGTTTATCTACATTTTCTAGTGCAGGTAAAATGCATGGACATGTTGTCTTTAATATTACCTGTTACATGTGTTGGGTTATGTTGGAATGAGTTAAAAAAAAAAAAAAAGCCCTGCATGCTGCATTCTGGGTGTGTTAACCTGCATTTTGCTATTATAGTCAATACAATCCCTTTTAAAAATGCAAGACAGCACAACATATCTTAACCTCACGTCAATACAGCACATGTTGAAAGAGAAGTAAAGCCAAACCTTTTTTGGCTTTAATCTTGTTTTGGGTCACAGAAATACATTTACTAATGTATCCTGTGACCCAAAGTCTGCATATAGTGGGCTGTGCCAGCCCCCAGGGAGGAATCCCTGACTGACAGTCACCACTCTCTGCAGGGAGTGAGCAATTAGCAGTTAGTGCCCATGGCACTCCCTTGTTCAGAGGAGCTCAGGTTTGGACCGGGTTTGCTCCAAACCCGAGCTCACCCCTACTCTCAAGAAACGTATATAGCCAGCTTTAAGTATGTATCCCACCTTTGCTCTTGCTGTGTTTTCCAAACATGTTCAATTCTTTGGTTGCTGGTCTTCAGTGAAGCCTTTGTATACATCTCTAGCCTCTTTCGCTTTGCTAAAAGTGCTTTACTAATATCCGCTGTATTGGAAGAGTTTATGAACTGTAGTTAAAAATATTGTCTAGATTCTAGAAGATAATCACTGTCACATGCATGTCAAGCTAACTGACCAGGACATTAGCAATAATAATAATCAACGTAGTACTTGCCTCCAAATCTTTCCAACATGTTTTGTACTTCACCACTAGAAAAGAAAATTGCACATTAAAATATTTTTCCAACTGCCTACTACTATTAGTTTACACATTTGTCTTCAGCAGGAAGAAAACATATAGTAAGAACTATGTTACCAAAATGTCTGGGTCAAGCCAATATCTTTAGGGAATCTTTGCTGCTGTGCTGGGTTTTGGGTGAATTCATAATTGCAGGGGAACTACTGAATTAGGCATGGAAGGGAGTTATTTTTTCTGGAACATTACTCTGCAGAGCCAGTGCTAGAGACAGTAATACTTACAGGAACAATGTGCTGCTGAACCAAAAACAGTTAAAGCACCTTTCCAGCGGCACTGTTGTGGTGGGCTAAGAGAGCGTTGGTATTTGCCAGGGCTGAGCAAAGGATGGGAGGAAGTGATACTTTCAGGGCCAATACACTGTCTATTCGGTGATGTGGAGAAAATTATTTACAGGTACAATGTGGTGTCTATCCAGGGATGGAGGGGACACTGATGCTGAGATAGTGTTTGGGGGCAATGGTATTTGCAAAGGCAGAGTCACATGAAAAGGATAGAGAGAACTCAAAACAATGCAGTTGCTCTGCCTCCCAAGTCCTGTTTTTGGCCTCAGCCATGCTGCTATTTCTACACTGCCCATTCCTCCCCTGCCACATTTGACCCCGGCAGGAAAGGAAGAGCAGCGCATGCTACTATACAACTGTCCCTACTAGAAGAGGCAATTTATAACGGACAGATGACAAGATGATGTAACGTTTACTACTAGCTCAATGAAGTGGCACAGGAATATATGCCACAGTGTTGATAAGGGCAATGAAAATGATTTCCTCACTGTAACAAGTGCAGAGCGCTTAGAGGGACATGCTGTCTTTCGTTCTGGCGGTCTCTCCCTCACTTTTTTTTTCATTCTCCTTTGAGCTACCTCTCTTTTCCTCGTACTTTCAGTCCCATTCTTTCCCTCTCTCACATTCCCCCTCCCCCCCACGCACACTTCTTCTTTCACTCTCTCCTTCTTGCTCTATCCCCCACATGCCTCAATAACTCTCCCCTTTGCTCTTGCTTGCACACTTTTACCCCATTACTCTCTTTCCCCCCTCACAGTTCCCCTTTTATGCACTCTTGCTCTCTCTCTTGTCCCCCACCTTCCAGTGGCCCCCTCTCTCCGGAGAATCAATTCCATCGTCTCTATATGCAATGGTATGCAACATTTTACTTTTACTCCCACTGACAGAAAATCCGGAGGTGTACCAATCTATTTTCCTCATGCTCACTAGTTGTTATGGGTATTGATAAACTTTCACACACTGTTTAAATATTGATTGGTTTAGTTATGGAACTTTCTATTACTGTATACTTGACACTGTCAGTAAAAAATGTGCTCTGTCAATAAACTTTAGTGAGTAATGTAATATTATGGACTTCCAACACAAACAGCTATAGATATTTACTGCCAGTAATATTGTTTTACATGTATGTTGCAGCTGTTGCTAAAAAAAAAGGTTTGTAGACAACTTGGATTAGAGAACGAAATGAAACATTGATGTCTGAGATTAACACAAAACAAACTATTCATTAAAATGTGGTGAATTGACTCAGTCAGGTTCAAAGTGCACAAGATACAGAAATAGGACACCCATTGCACTTTGCAAATGTGTAATATCAGCAAATGCACTATGTAATATTTTATTACCCCATATGATCTGCATCTATTTCTTGATCTGTAGCAGATGCAGGACGTTTTTTTCCTTGTTTCTCAAAACCTGGAGTCTTTTCTGTTAGAAAAACAAAACAAAGTAGGAATTTAGCTTGTTTTCACTGCAAAATGTATTTGGTTATACATATTAATATAACAGTTCAAATGCAGTGGTACCTCAGTTCACAAATGCTTCTGTTCGCGAACAGGAAAATGTTGCTTCCGTTCGCGAACTTCGCATAGGGTGACGAACAGAACCGCAGCCATCTTCCCTGCTCTGACACTGGTCATGGCTTCCTCTTGTTGAGATCGCGGTCCGATCACAGTTTGATTCGGTTCGCGACCAGAATCGTGGAACTAATTAAGTTCGTGAACCGAGGTACCACTGTACATGCTTGATTTAAGAACACGAAAACATAGCATTCTAACACAGGACACCTACTGCCACTCAGAGGAGACAATTCACAGGATCCAGGACACTTTATAACCTTGGGCTTGGTGCAGCTATCCTAGTAGCAACATCAACCTAAGCTATGGCCTAGTGACAAATCCAGCCCTGTCTGTGGTCCTTAGTCAACCTGGATAGTTCTGGCATCAACTTGCACCTTGGTGCCAGCATTGCACATAAGAATAAAATGTTGACGCAATAATATTAATACTGTAGTGTCATATTCTACATATAGTCTATATTGTACTTGATATTATAGTGAAGAATCCGAATTTTTTTGAAGCAATTAGACTGGTATACCTTCTGTTGTATCTTCTTCTTCTTCTGATCCAGTAAGGGTTTTTTGTTCTATTTCTTGAAATTTGTAAGAAAGCACCTTCTCCTCTTGAATTGCCTTTACAGATTTCCCTGACTTCTTACCAGGAGCCATAACTGTTATCTAAGATTAATGTGGAAAGAGACAATATCACATGGCAATATAATTCATAAGGGCACATAAGGAATCAATTCACCCTAAAGTGATATACAGTGGTACTTCGGTTCACAAACTTAATTTGTTCCACAATTCTGGTCGCGAACAGAATCAAACTGTGATCAGATCGCAATCTGGACTAGAGGAAGCCATGACCATGTGTCAGAGCAGGGAAGATGGCTGTGGTTGTGTTCGTCACCCGATGCAGAGTTCGCAAACGGAAGCGTTCGTGAACCGAGGTACCACTGTATAAGTTACAGGTGGAGTTTGTAGGGCTGTGTCACACACTGGCTCTTAGTATCTCTTGGTGACTTAAAGGAGAACTATGGGGTTAGGGCTTTTCCCCATAGTTCTCCTAAGGTTAACGGTAGGACACAAACTAGCGTCCTCCCGTCACCCTAAGCTCAGTATATCGCGAGCTACAGCTCTCAGTATACTGAGACGCCGCAGCCGGAACGGATCCCGACAATTCTGTCTGGATCCACCCAGCTGCGTGAGTGACATCTAGAGGCAGAGCCAGCTGTACCCGCCCCCTCCCCCGTCCGTTCCGCCAGTCAGCGATGGAGGATCAGACAGGGGAGGGGGGGAATCCCTGCAGGGAGCCGTGAGTGACAGTCACGGCTCTCTGCACGAATAGATCTAGATGTGAGCAAGCACCGGTATGTGTTCACTCACTTCCCGATCTACTGAGCCGACCTGTGACAGTTTCATTGTCACAGGTCGGCTCAGATTATGCGGCTGAGTGAAATTCATTCAGGGCCTCATAATTCTCCTTTAAAGTCTATCTCCAGGGAAGCAAAAAACTCCCCTTGCAGTGGAGCTACCCCGCATTGCTAGTGATTATCGCTCGTTTATGTCTAGGGGGATTGTGTAAAGCATAATACCTCTTGACACTTACCTGATCCCCCCGTCCCCAGCAGTCAGAGTGGTTGGAAATACAACAGCTTATGCTGATATGTACTGATTGTATTACTGACATTCAGAGATGTATTTTGAGCAGTAGATGGCAAAGTGGTGCAACGTTGGTCTATGCTTGTTTTCTATATGCATGCTTCTATCTGTGATGCACAGGAAGTTCTATCTATATATATGTTTTCCTCTCTACTATGCTGTATTCCTGTATACATACATGTAATGTCCTGCTAAGCAAGTAAAACTGAATTCAGCATTCCTCAAGATCTCAGTGCATCATCTAAACACATAACTAACAGGAGTTTACCTCTCCCCCCCTCCACTCCAGCTTGTGGACTGTCCCTTGATGTCCTCACATATAATGCAGGGCTATGGGCTCTGCATTTGATGTGATGATGGCAGTGTGCCTCTGACTGCCAGAGCAGAAGGGCCAGAATCGGTATTGCCATTGTCAGGACCTTGGGAAAGAAATGGGAAAAGGAAGCAGCTGCAGAGCTCTAAAAGCACAACACCTGACACCCTTACCAGTATCAGAAGTGAAATGAATAAAATTAGAAATGCTGTTTCTGAACAACAAGGAGATTAAATTAATAAATAAAGGCACTATTACTTATCGATGTGAATACATTTACTTGATATGTTAAAAATGAAAACTCTGGGCACAATTCTAAATTCAAACAGGCCCCAAAAAGTTTTATAGTAAAGAAACAAACAAAAAAACAACCTACGCTGCAGACAGTACTGCCGTTCAGTCTGAAGCTGCCTCACAAAGTACTTTTTATTGCCAAACAAATGTCTTATGTGTTGAATATAAATATAGCCCCCCCAAGCCTGGAGTTGGGCTTTAATTTGCTATGCATATGAGGTGGTGAGAGGGTCTCTTTAAGGCTGAAGTCTGGTAACAGTAACAGTGTAATGACATACATCTGAAAAAGTGCTTCCCATATTGTGCTTAGTGTAATAATCCTCCCCTTAGTGAAGCCAGATAATGCCCACAGCACTGATCTTCTTGTGCTGCAGGGATGAGAGGCTGCCGCTGTGAAGGATTCCGCCATTCACACTCCACTTACTGCCCCCTGGCCCATTCACAAGACTCCTAGTATTGCCTTGCATTCTGGTGAGGGTGATCCTGTCATTTATCTGACCCTTCTCCATTCACAGAACGCAGTGCCATCCCTATAATAAGGCAGGCTGATGACTCAGACGGCATCTCATTGGGGGAAATGATGCTCAGTGCGGCTCCCTGATGTCACCGGTTGACAGGAGCTGAGTGGGATGCTCTGGCTGGTGTGCAGATCAGGAACGATAGAGTTCTTCCGCTCCTCGTGCCTTCTCCATGATACTGATTGTGATCCGCTCAAAAGGTTCACTCATTCTACACTACAGCATTCCTCCGCCTTATGAATTGTGCTGCTGTTTTAAAGGTAAGTAAATTCATGTGAATTATAATAATTAGTGTAGCCGGCGGAAGCGGGGAAGTGTGAGTCTTGGGGGGTGCTGGTGATATAGTGCTCACTTTTATTATAATGCATTGCTGGGACTTGTAGTCCCGCATAGCTGGTGGTACTTTGCATACCTGTATGATGATTATACAGCAATGCAGAATTGCACCAACTATGTAGGACTACAAGTCCCAGCAATGCATTATAGTGCGTGTGTGTGTTTGGGTGCTGGTGGTATTTTGCATAGCTGATTTTTATTATAATATTTTGCTGGGACTTGTAGTCCCGCATAGCTGGTGGCAGGGCAGCCATCAGGGGGGTACAGCCGATACTCATGTAAGGGGCCCGTGCAGCCTGGGGGGCCTGCCCGGGTCCCTTACATGACTATCGGCCGACGGTGAAGGGCCCCAGCATTGCCGCTCCAGCGGCTTTGAGACAAGCTAGGGCCCCCCCAGCGACGATGGTCGTCTGATGTTGGACTGGCCGGAAGTGACGTCACGTCACTTCTGTCCGGTCCTGCGGCAGAGGAGGCCATGTGTGCAGGTAAAAGGAGCTAGGAAAGAAGGAAGGAAAGGAGGGATGGAGCCCTGACCAGCCCACCTGAGACCCCTTCAGAGCCAACCATAGACAGTCTCAGATGGGCTGTGCAACATCTATGGTGGGCTCTGCAGGGTCACTCTCAGGTGGGTCATGTGTCTAGCGCGTCACTAAGCCCTGCGTCCAGCACGTCACTAAGCCCTGCGTCCAGCACGTCACTGAGCCCTGCGTCCAGGGGCGTGGCCTAAAGCCGTGTAAGGGGCCCCAAAATTTCTGATGGCTGCCCTGGCTGGTGGTATTCTGCATTGCTGTATGATGATTATACAGCAATGCAGAATAGCTTCAACTTTGTAGTACTACAAGTCCCAGCAATGCATTATAGTGAGGGAGTGCTACTATAGTAAAAGAAGCGGTTTAGTGAACCATGAGCCATTTAAAAGATCCGGATCTTTTCAGTGAGCGATCCGTGGAGGAGCGCTCATGCAGAAGAACCATTTTGCCCATCTCCACTACATAGGGCCGCGGTGTCAGCAGCCTTATATAGTGTGCTGCAGGGACTTAGCTGTGAGACATGATTGGGCAGAGTCATCGTGACTTTGCCCAATCATGGCTCTATATTTGTACTGAGCCCTGATTGGCACAGTCTTGCACCTGACCTGTGGTCAGGTGCAAGACTGTAGCCAATTACCGTTTCGGACGGCGCAGTGCATTGTGGGATGTCCCGCGGTCGAACAGACCACAGACATCCCATAATGTTCGGCGTCCGGCGAGCATTAGAACATGCTATGTTCGAGTCGAACGCGAAGCCCATCCCTACTGCTGAACTCCTGGCAACCGGTGACATCAGTAAGCTAGACAGAGCTGCTGACAGCCCCTGTCACCCAGGCAACCCACCCCACCTGATAAAAATCAGGGACAGCACCCAACCCCCACTTCTGCACAGCAGCCTCAGGTGGCAAATACTATAGGGACAGCCCTGACCGAACGCTTTGCATTCTGGGAAATGGGTGACAGGACAAGGAGGGGTATTACACAAACCAGAAGATTAGAGGTACCTTACTAAACTGGTGCTGTATGCCCCAAATCATTTTTACTAGACTTCAGAGAAAGAATAGCTGTGAGATTGGAATTGGGCTCCTATGAGGTGTATGTAGCGTCAATACCAGACACCCTCAGGTCACCATCTTGTTCTTCTTTCTGGTGTTCCCAAACTGTGGGAAGTTCTAATATGGCAATATTCACTCCCTCAGTTATGGTGGAAGGCAAACGTGTCCCCTCCCCCACGGGGCCTCATTGGGAGCCGCAGGATGAGAAATGGTAGCCTTCACCCACTTACTGAATATCATCAGTGATTTAGATCTATCCGCGGCGCTCTGGTTTCTAAAGCAGCTGCTTACCCCGACTGCTAAAAAGTAATAGCAGCCGCTCCCGTACATTAATAATCACCACACGCACCTTCCTTCGCCTGTCCACAGTGCTGACACAGACCACGCCTGTCTGGGACAAACTAATTGTACGCTTAGCAGGGGGGCGCTGCAGACTGACTGGGAGCTCACACTGAAGGGTCTCTTAAGTGACATGGAGTGCTGGATGTAGGAGACCTAAGGCTGCGCCTCACCTTGGAAGTCACTTGATATTTAGGGGTGCCCCGAGTCTCCCAAATCTGATCACTAGGGACAGCGTTGGTTATCAGCTTAAGGTAAAAGTATGACGTCAGTTATATGTAGCAGGCTTTTATAAATTAAAACGTCATTTTAAGTTTTTTTTATTTTCAGTGCCATCGCTGATAATGCTAAAATACAGATCGAGGGCCGCCTCAGCCGACCTTCGCTTACCCCTCTTCCCCCCGCGTTCAATGGTATCGTCTGCTGCGCGCTGTGCTGAAGGTGGTGTGGGCGGAGTGTTCAGGTTGGGACTGGGTGGGGTCCGAGCAGCGCTGAGGTGGTTTGTGTACTAGACACATTTACATGCTGCTGCGTTGTCTGCTCACTGCGGTTTAGTAACCTGAGTGGTTCAGTCAGTGTGACGTTTTATGTTATGTTTGTGACAATTGAATATACACACATA